TTTTTATTATAAAAAAACAAGTAAAAGCTATGAACCCAAAACAGAGGGATTAATTGAAACTAAAGTTTATATATTAATTCTTTATGTGTAATAAGTATATATGTTTATATCATAAAAACGAGTTCAATAAAACGAAGCTAACACAATTCCTAAATATTTCCACTTTATCAGTTAGTGGATGAAAACAAAAACATATCTAACTATTAAAAGACCTCTCAAACGTTTTTTTAGTTTTGTGGAGGAAACAAGAAAAAAATGAAACCAGAGCCTAAGAGCAAGTCTGCACTACACTTTTTATGTACACTTATTTGACATCACAGTAAAGTAGAGCAGCCACCCTACAATTTTACATATCTGTGTGGCAGGAAAAAATAGATTACTGTATTTTTTCTTACATATGCAGATTTAGTCAAATATTTTGTAAATTGAATAAACTACATAAATAAAATTATATACAAATGTGTACAGAAAGACTAATAAAACATGTCAATACTAAGAAAAACAAGACGACAAAAGAGATGTATGGTCTGATGAGTACATTTGAATATCCCTCAGCTTTCATAGCCCTAACAGGAGTAGTACTGTAAAGTCATATGGATAAAAAATCTTCAGAAATTTAAAAATCGTATACAGCTGCTTGCATACAAAAATGTTTTGAAAAGAATAAATAGTGTAAGAGCAAAATGAAAAAGGAGATGTAAGGTCTGAGATCCTTTGTCTATCACTCAGCCATGCCCGCACCAGTTGTTGAGATCGGACAACATAAAATCACTCAAAATAAATAAAAAAAAATGATCAATCCAATAAATCTCTTCAATGAAATCATATATAAGTGAATGTACACAGAAAAGTGGTAAAACACACATATAGTGTAAGATATACCAAAATGAAGAAACGAGACATACGTCCTAAAATGTGACTCGGACTTCGCCATAGCTCTTCTCGGAACCCTATCGGACAATTATCCGGTGAGGAGTGATTGACTATGGCAGGTGTGAGCATAGTCGTAGGGGATACGATTCGCAATGATACGGCTCGCCGCTGTTCCGATCTTCATCACACCGGACTGTAACGGCAAACGATACGGCTCACAAGCTCTCTGCTAGCTCTCTCTCTCTATGCTAACAAAAGGTGAAACCCTAATGAACGACAATTATTTTCCTTGGAGTATTATGTTTGAAGATGTTGGGCCAGACGGATCATTTGGACGCACAGGGAAGAATATTACAGAAGGCCCACACCCCTATTTAGTCCTTTATTCCTTGGCTTTGTTCGTATGTCTATTTCAAATTGTGAATATTATATTAATATTTGTAATTTTTTGTATTTTAATTAGTAAATCTAAATTTAGATAACTAAAATGTTAGATAACTAAAATTATTATAATATTACCACTATTCAGCTTTGGTATCAATATATTCTAATTTTAAAATAACATTTACTATGATGTAAATTTCAACTAATGTCATTAATTTATCATTTTTCTGAATGTCGATCATATTGAATAGAAAATTGGGATCCAAATCAAATCAAATAAGTACGACCCAATGACACGAATAAAATATATTGTTTTGTGACTTTTGTTAGCAAAACATCAAATCAAGAGGCAGGCCCGTCAAACATGTTAACTGCTCAAACAAGCAGTAACTATAATTACCTTATTCATATTTTTGTTTATGATGATAATAATATAATTATATTATAACAATAACTGTTGTTATATACAAAATATTTCATTATAATTTGATGCCATTAATATTATTAAATGTGGTTGTTGTTGTATTTCCATTCGTTACCTTTCCAAAAGAGAGAGCATCATGTGCAAAATTTGTATTTCAATCTTGGGGGTTCTCGACAAGGCCAATTTTTGTCACATGTTGGGTTGTTATTAAAAAAGTTAGTTTTTACGCATGATCAACTTTATGTTGCAATATCAAGAGTAATAAATCGTAAAAGTTTGATAATATGGATTTTCCCTAAAGATGCCGAGCAAATCGACTATACTACCAATGTTGTTTACACGGAAGTGTTTCGAAATGTGTAAATTGCAAAAATCTTATTGTAATACTTTGTATTTCTTTATGTCTTTATTTTTACTTATTCCAAATCTTACTTACTACTAATGCTTGAGTCTTAACTATCGGTTCCTTAATTAAAATTTATTATTTATATTAAGTCTCATCTATTTCCATACATTTAAACATCAATTCATAATATTAACAAATATGAAAATATATTTATTACATTATTTATGTCCCGCGCATCGCGCGGGTGAGAATCTAGTATAATAAAAACAAAGATACCATCCTTCAAAAGGGAGAGAGCAAATGTATGTATATAGAATTTGTGGCTTAAAGTAAAGCAAAAAATTATAGTTCATATAAGAACTAACTCGGCAAATCCCTTATTATAATGGTGGGCAATTATGTTGACTTAAAAATGGTTAGATCTTTGTGGAGGATGGTAAAGACACCCACTTCTGGTACTCTGCTAAAGCCCACATAGGAAATATGTTTCTATATGTTGCATAGTGTAACATGCAGTTCCTCATAAAAACTCCTGCCATTTCCTGTAGAAAAATGAAGAATATAAATTCAGATTGTATCTACGAAAACGTAACCTTTCTTGATATTACATACCATGATTGAGGATAAGTGGTGAACTAGTGATTTTTTAGGTTACCTGTTGCGGAAAGTCACCATTTTCCATTTGAGAGTTTATTATAAGCTTTGCTGCAGCATGGAGCGGCCTCTGATCTCTATTCGACTACCACAATGCAAAGAGTAGATGATTAAATGACGTATGATGCTTTTTTAATTACTATAGTTACATAGCGGAATTTTACCAAAGCAATCTCCCAAAGAAGACAGTTACCTGACCAGAATAGATCAACCCCATCATGGCACATGAAGTTGGTACCAAATTTGAGCGATTTCCTTCAAGTTGTCGATATAGCTGTTTTAAAAAATGTAATTAGTATCTCATTTTTGGAAGTATATTTCTTTCTTAAAAAAAGAGGGTATGTCAAGTGAAGGATAAAAACAGAGAGTGTTTGTGTTTGCTTGTGCTTTTTAGAGGTGACTGTAGGGTGTGTTTCGGAAAATAAATAAAATTAATTAAAATAAATTAATTAAATAAAATGACTAGAGAAAAACAAGAAAGGAGATGAAGCAGAATTAGTCAAAGCTCGTGCTACGCACGATGTCCTTAAAACGTATTTGTTGCCTCCCACGGTGCTAGGAGCGTTGCAACAATCGTTTCCCAGGATACGATGACTACGAACTAATGTTTGAGCACACAAACAAAAGTTCCAGCGAACGAGAACAAGTCTGAACACACAGGAATTTTTCAGAGAGACTGGAGGTGTTTTTAGCTGAAGAAATACGTGAGCTCGTGTATGAACGTGTGTATCAACGTGTGTTGTTGCAAACCACCTGCCAGCCATTATATAGGAGGATTTGTTGTGTGTAAATGGTGAATTAATGGACCTGAACGTTGGACATCAATGACCAGTCCGTTGGGCATTGAATCGTCCATGAACTGTCCATTTAACGCAGCATTAAAAGATAAGAACGTTGGGCATTTATTGTTGTAACGGTTCAGATGCGCGACAGAAGACCTCCACCAGAACACCCTGGGAGGGGTTCTGTTTCGAGGCCAACAGAAGACCCCAAGAGGGGTTCTGTTCCGAGGCCAACAGAAGACCCCAAGACGGGTTCTGTTCCGAGGCCAATAGAAGACCCCAAGAGGGGTTCTGTCACGAGGCCACCAAAATACCAACGAGGTGTTCTATTCCGTAGGCTTCTGCCGCTGGGAAAAATTAAACGTTTCGGGAAGAAAACAAAAATTAATCGTATCTCTTGAGAGATAGATTTTTGGACGACATTCGTGTCCGCAGGTCGCCCGCACACGCAAGTCGCTGTTTTTCTTCTCCGATTTCGAGATTTGATTTGCACCCCCCCTGCGCGCGTGGAGAGAGCCTTTACCCTAAGGAATCTTAACTCCTTAAGAGGGGAGTCCCTTTATAAAGGGTTGCAAATCCCTTGGGTTTTTCGGTGTGGGAAATAACACACTAGAAACCCATCCTTTTCCCAGTTTTTCCATTCTAACGGGTAAACTTCGAAAAACGATTTCTCATTCACCCGTTATCCGTTTTGAGCGTACCACATATCGAATTGTATCCCTAAACAAGGACAATCCGAAACCACTTTGACCCGACCCAAATCTAAAGTGGACCCCACTCAAAAAATTGCCCCAAAATTACCATTTAATGCAATTTTTCACACATTTTTCCAACAGTGACATATTTTTGAAATGCATAAAGTTAAGTTAAGCCCAAGAAGCAACATAACATTATTATTACTTTTAGACTTTTTTAAAACGACAAAAATGTATTAGAAAAAAAAAAAGCAAACATTGCTTCGGATTGAAGGTTATGATGAAAAGAAAGAGAATAGTGTGTAATGTGATCCGACCAAATGTTACCTTTTCGGGACAAGAGCGGAAACTTTCTCCCCAACCACCATCATCCCTCTGTGTTCTTAGCAAAAAATCGACACCTTTACAGACAGACGCACAATTCTTATACGTTTTTCCTGCTGCAGCTAGGCCTCGAAGAGCTAACCAAGAGCCATATGTGAAGCATATGCCCCAATTTCCATACCGTACCTAAGCTTGACATAATATCATATGAGAAGAAAACAGTACATTGCTATTTGCAGCTCCATGACATTAAGGGATTAACTATTATACCATGAACCGTCAGGTCTTTGCACATTTTCAATGTACTTTGTAGCATTGGTGATTAAATTTTCTATCTCTTTCGTTCGGTGGCCAGGGTACAATTTCTTGAAAAGGACTAGGGCTTGAATTGATGAAGCGGGGCACTCGACATACCTAGATGAAAATCTCTGTTTATTTCAAAATAATTCTAATATATATTTGCATATCTGAATTGGAGAATACAAACATACTAATTTTAATTACAAATCGACAAATCTTACTCATACTCAATAACAATGTCAGCGAGAAATTCTGTTGGATTTAGCATCTGTGTATATAAACCGAAAGAAGTAAGAAATAAACACATCACACAACCCATCAATATAAATTGGCCGGTTATCCATTATTAATGCAACAAGAAGTACCTCCAACCATTCTGGTGCTCCAGTGGGCTCCCATGCAGCCAAACCACCATTTTTTCTCTGCCATGTTGTTGAGTAAAATCAAATGGAGGATATCCATGACCAAACAATTGAAAACATATATAATTTACTATTGAAATTTATTGTGTGACCAATGAAATTATATTTTTCCATAGAAACGTATTGGTAGCATGTTGAATGCCTGAATTTCAGTTAAAACATAGTCACACTTATAGGTCTTATGATTATTAGGATTATACTACGTAGTATATTTCGAGGCTCAACATTTAATAACTCACATACATATTTAGAACTAACAATCTTATTACATAACTTTGATATTTGTAATAATTGTAGTTTATGATCACTCAATTTCTTTAGAGTGCAGTTAGTTACTACTGAGTCATGTGCTCTAATTCAATCTCGTCAAGTATGGCAGACTGAAGTACTGAGTGCACACATTAACATATTTTGCTTCGCTGACATCTCACCTGACAAAAATATTGTTGTTTCTACATGCTTTCCTTTTTTATTGTTATTATTACTCATGGAAATTTTGCTATAAGTTGTTGCTATCATTTTTTATTGGGAAATATCCCGAGATGTGACTAATTATGTTTTTATCCCGAAATATGACTAAAAAATCGAAAAATATAGAAATTCTCGTTATATTAAATTGTGGAATGATGGAAATACCCTTATTAAAAAAAATATGCATTTTACACTACTTTCATCCAAGTAAAATTAATGCACGTACTTTATGGAGGCGTTATTGCATGACATTTACTGCGCGATATGTCGGAGTTCACTGCACGACATATAATGCACTTCATGCACTTAAGTTATGGCACTTCAGTTTATCGTTTCTTTAGTTTTGATAACTTTAGCTTTTACGTTTAATAAAAAATATAATGCACTTCGTGCAAGAATTATGGCACGACATTACAAAAATGTTAGAATTTATATTTCTTTTTAATTTTTTTAGATTTGATAATTGCACTTTATGTCAATGTTAATTCTCTACATTATTGCACTTGTCATAATCACATTATTTATGATCATATGATTGCACTTCTTGTAATAAAACACTGCACTTTTGGTGATATTCACGACATTAAATAAAAAAATTCACTCACACGGTCTTCAATCGTCTTCAACCTAGGGTTCATCTTCAACCATGGATTTGCATTCAACCTCGGCCACCTTGGTGAAGAATCTGAGTGGTTGGGCAGTGGTCCAACGTCATTCTTTGGTAAATGGTAACATTAATTACCAACCCTAATTTCAAGAAATATAAAGCGAAAGGTGGAGAAGGAGAAGGAGGAGGACGTGCGGCGCGATAGCAGCGGCCAACGCAGGCTGGACGACTGCGAGCGTGGGCTGGACAAAGCCAGCGGCGAGTGCGGGCTGGATGGAGGAGGCGAGCAAGGGCTGGATGGAGGAGGCAAGTGCGAGCTGTACGAATTGAAGGAGGCGAGCATGTGTGGATGGGCGGAGGGCGAGCAGGCGGCAGTATGGCTGGGCGGCAGCAAGGCGGAAGCAATATGCGGCATCGAGGTGGCAGCGGCAGGCGGTTGGTTGTGCGGCGGGCAGTGGGAGGCTAGACGCTAGGGTTAGAAAAAAGAGTAGGAGGTTAGGGTTTTATAGGCATAACCTAAAGGGTATATTAGTCCATAACAATTAAGTATTTAATTATTAATTACGAAATTAATTTAATATTACATATTTAAATATTATTTTGTGAAAAGACTAGTTAGGTCATAGATTAGGCAAGAGGAAGAGTCTTAATCATACACAAGATAATTATCTCTTTTTTATTATTCCCTCCATAACTTAAAGATCTTCCGATCTTAAAAGTAAGTAGATTAAGAATGGTGAAAGATGATATAAATTATTGAGGGTATGATGAGAATATAATGGAATAATGTGATGGAATGGAGGATAAATCCAAAAAGAGTAGTTGTAATAGTGTATTATTTTCAAAATTACTTAGGGTCTGATTGGAAGATTTAGTAATGGGAAGATTTTTTCGTTACGGACGAAAAAGGAAAGTGAGAAGATGTTTTTTGTTACGCAGGGAGTAGTATATTATTTTTGTATTTATTTGTAAAATATTCAATTTAGCTTTTCAAAATAGATAACAATCAACTCTTCTAGCATAGGAATATAAGAAAATCCATGTTTATGTAGTTGTATATAATTCATCCTTTTTCCTTTTTATTTGATCAATTCCTAATTTTGTTATTTCTTTGTCTCTTCACCCATTTGATACCTTTTAATTCAATCAAAAAATACAGCCTTGATATTTTCTCGAATGTTTTTCATGTAGATATACACTCTTAAAGTTTGACTTTAACAGTGTATTTGAAAAAGATTCATCAAATACAACTCCATGGTTACAACTATGGTACAGATATGACTAATTTGTACATTAATTTGAAACTTCACAGGTGCATTCAAACATTTTTCAAACACTAAGAGTGTATATGTACTCCCACTATTGTTGGAATTGAGAATGTATTTGCAACTCAAAACTTGGACCATATAGAGCGTCAATTCATTTTTGAAAATAAAAAATACAATAACTTATGTACAATTCACAATTCGATCCTTACCTGTAATGAAAGTAGTATATTAACTGCATCATATAATCGTTCAAGTTCCAAATGCTTGCCAAAACGTTGAGGGCACATTGTAGAGAAGATAAGGCAACACTGTAAATATATTTGTAATTGTGGAAGATTAGAAATGTTTTATAGTATATGGTTCTTATCTTGATAATAATATACTATGATACCCTTAACCCTTCAGCGGTACAATCTGAAACTTGCCATCCATGATCTTGATCTGAAAAGGTCCATGACCCTTTAGAAATGTGCCTATGCATTCTCCTAAAATCACCTGAAGGATTGTCCTTGACCTATAAGAAAATTGTAGATGTTTGGTGATAATTATTGAAATAAAAACTACACCATGAAAAAGAAACAAAATATCATCTTAATTAGATGAAGCCACATTTTTAGGATTTCGAGCCTCAGACCTGAGATTTTTTAATGAAATCGTGCTCTTTTCGAAGAGTATCTTCAATTTCATCAGTTAACCCACTGGCTAACAATGCTTGAATAGCCAAACCAGTATCCCACAGTTGACTGCCAAAGCTCTAAAGTTCAACATCAACCAACAAAGCGGACCTTGCTTATTAGATTTTATTAAGAATTGGCATAAAAAAGAGTTAAGAGAGAGAGTGCATGTTTTAGTCCACATCATTATTATAAACCTGCATTTTTATCCATCTTCAGCGACCCATAGGTAATCAGGGATCCTAGCGAGATGTTTCTTAACATATTGACCGTTTGGATCCTCAACCCAACAAGCAAGCATACAGAGAACCTACTCAGTTCATGTAAAAAACCACACTTGTAAAGTTCAAAATGACTGAGAAAATGAAAGTTTGAATAATGTTGCATGGGTTAATATACATCTAAGATCATGATTACTTACCTTTTCCACACACCCAATTGTAATGTATCTGCTGTTCTCATCTTCATAATGAATGTGTTTCATGGTAACTTCTAGAGCTTTTTGTCTCAACTTGTTTAGAGGCCAACGAGTAAGTAAAGGCTCAGTAAGTAAGTAACAACTATCCCAAATGAAGTCTTGTATTAAGGGATGAGGATAATAGACATCCTCCTGTTAGAAAAAGTATGTTTCAGCATATTATGAAAAAATAAAAAAAACTAATTTGATGACATAGTTCACTTGTAAAACATAACCTTTTCACATAAATGGCGTATTTTCCTCCAATTGATTTCCTTGTACGACTCATCATACAACTCTTCCTTCAATTGTAAAATGAGTGGTGTTATTGGGCCAACAAATTTCTTTCCATATAAATACGACATGGGCAGGTACACCATTCGACAATAACAAAACATCTTCCCTGAATTTTAGAAAAAAATTGTTTAGTTGAACTTAAAGATTGCTGCTATAAAACTTGCTTTCACATTGCAAATCATGAATTGTTGCGAGTTCACTTTTTTTAAAACTGGAGTTTAAACATATTGCTCATTATTGTTGTTAGTTTCAGCTAGTTTACTACTTTGGAGTTTGGATCTCCAGTAATACACTAAAAAGTTATCAAACTGTAAAAAACTACACATTTTCAATAGCATGACGTTTTGTTACCGTATGACCATAACCAAGCTAATAAATTTTTCCAAACTTTAACCACCATTATAAAACTTTCTACCTACCTAGATGGATAGGAAGAGAAGAAGGAAGTAACCAAAATTCAGGAGGCATAGGGTTAGTTCCGGTCCAGTCAAATACTCCAAGTATCTAAAGATAAAATAGAGAATTGTCAGCAAGAGACTGGAAAAAACTAATCAAATGCTAATAAGTAGTTCCAAAAATAAAAATATAGTCCTACGGAGAGCCAAGTCTTCCCCCAAGAAGGAATGGATTTAACGCTTCCATGATCAAGAATCCATTTTCTTGCCCTACAACATGCATTGTACTCACCACCATTTGGCCCCTCTCCAAGAATGCGAATACAAATGTAGCTCAAGGTGGTGCAGAACATAGTGCTGTGGCCTTCTATGTGAAGCCCCCACCCACCATCTTCATTCTATATCATGCAAAATGTTTTTCTCAGTGTAAATGCACTTATATTCATAAATGCTAAATTTCAGAAGAGAAAGTGTAGTTTCTCGAACGAAATCTATGTATACCTGGTGACAGTATATGTATCGAAGAATCTCTTTGCGATGTTCTGATGAGAAAAATGTATTAGGGTGGCCGGTGATGTACATACACATGATCTGAAAGTTTTTGTCAAGAAACGGGTAAATGATCAAAATGAGCATTTCATCAAACACTTTAAGGGTGGGGGGAAACGAACTAACCAATGGTGGAAGATAGAACAAGGGACCACTATTTTCAGCAGGCCAGTGACCATCAGTGGCTTGCAGGGCAGAGAAAAAATGGACTGCTCTTCTCAATGCAGTTGTTGTCGTTTCATGGGTGATTTCTTCTCCATCTTTCACCTTCACGGGTGAGATTGTTTGCTTGAAGTTCTTCTCTTTGAGAAACTGCTAATATTTAAAAAGTGAGTTTTGACAACAATTAAAGGCTGTGTTAATGGAATATGAAATCATTTCTAGACAACCATTAATAATTCATACATTCCAAACTAAAATCTATGTAAAAAACACGCTTATGTGATGTTCTTGTATACACATGTGACATGCCAAACTAAAAACTATGCCAAACTAAAATCTATGTCAAAAACACACCTATGTGATGTTCTTTTAACCATTAGCCTTGTTGGAGTTTAGTTACTTTGCTCCACTATGAAATAATAGAATAGACACCTTATTACCCAAAAGAAGGCTCAATCTCACTGTCAAAAGAGAGGAGTGGTGTAAAAGTAGAGGGATATGATAATTGGAATGGTATTTTTTTTTGGGTTTATACTGTGTACAGTTTGTGTACATTTCATGTAAACTAAGCATTTTATCTCACTATTGTATAGCTATGTACAAAAGGACGGGCCATGTTTTTATAGGCGTGAAAAGGTCATTTTTTACGAGAAACAAATTACTCGAAAAGGTCATTATATTGCCTCTGAAGTGGCTAATACTTATGTAGAACAACATGTTCATGAGTTCATCCTTGAGCCTTCTACTATCCCACTATAATTATTTTGGCTATTAATGTCTAATTATTTGAAAGTTAATTAATAAGTTACGTGATTCTCTTATAAATATACATCTTTATATTACTCCGTACATTATTACCACTTTAAACACTTTATGTTCTCTCAAAACTATTTGTTCAAATTACATGAGCTTTCAATCTCTTATCGTTTTCTTACTGTGCGCTTTGAGAGTTTGAAGTATAATCATTAATTAGTAGACATCATTGTTGTAGTCTACACTAATATGAGAATGCCATCACACTTTGGGGTTGGAACAAAAATATAGTTAACTTGGAGCAAAACATTCTATATATATTAACTTGTTTTTTTTACTGTTGGAAGTGTTTCGAAAAACAAAGAAAATTAACTAATAAAAATTAATTAAATAAAATGACTTAAAGAAAACAAGAAATGAGATGAAAGCAGAATAAGCCAAAGCTTGTGCTACGCACGATTTCCTTAAAACGTATTCGTTGCCTCCCGGGGTGCTAGGAGCGTTGCAAGAATCGTTTCCCAGGATACGATGACTACGAACAAGCATGTGAGCACTCAAACGAAAGTTCCAACGAACGTGAACAAAGCAAAAACACAGAATGAATTTTTAAGAGAAGGCTGGGGAGAGTTTTCAGAGCTAAAACAAAGTGCAGCACGTTTCTGACTTGTGTTATTTTGCAAAGCATCAGCCAGCCTTTTATAGGGGTGGATTGCATGGGTTAAAATCGTTTGGACAGCCATGAACGTTGGACCATTAATGTCCAGAACATTGGACATCAATGTCCAACATGCTGGCATTGATTCATCCAGAAAAAACTGTCCAGAGCTGCATTAAGGCCATATGAATGTTGGGCAGTTAATGGAGCAAAAAATAGGAACGTTACGGAAGAACAAAAATTATTGTTATCTTTAGAAGATAGATTTTCGGACGGCATTCGTGTGTGCAGGTCGCCCGCACACGCAAGTCGCGCTTTTTGTTTTCTGGTTTCGGGATTTGATCCACACCCCCCTGCGCGCGTGAGAGAGCCTTTCCCTTTAGGAATCTTAACTCCTTAGTGGGGGTTTCCCTTTATAAAGGGTTCAAATTCCCTTGAGATTTTCGGTGTGGGAAAAACCCACACTAAAAACCCACATTTTCCTACTTTTCTCCATTCCAACGGGTAAACTTCGAAAAGCGATTTCTCATTCACCCGTTATCCGTTTTGAGCGTACCATATATCGAATTGTAGCACTAAGCAAGGACAATCCGAAACCACTTTGACCCGACCCAAATCGGAAGTAGACCCCACTCAAAAAATTGCCCCAAAATGACCATTTAATGCAATTTTAACACACTTTTTCCAACATATACTACATCCGTCCCTCAATTAAAGTCTGAGTTTGACTTTTGAGTCAAACTTGTTAAACTCCGACCGTTAATTACTCAAAATTAATAACATTTTATCACACAAAATTAATTTTATGTGCTTCATTGTAACATGTATTATTCAAATATTAATTTGTTATAGATTATACATGTATATATTTATAGATAATTACGATCAAATGTCCGCCAAGGAGACTGCAAAGTCAAACTGGGACTTTAATTGTGGGATGGGGGGAGTAGTGTATATATACCTTTCTTGTTCTTGTTACAATTCAAAGTAAGTTATAAGAATTATAGTCCATACTTCTAAAACGGCATGTACACGATAACATCATCAAAGGATATGTATCATTTATTGATGGGTGTGGAAAACCATAATGCTAAATAGGGTGGAGTCGGGCATTGACCCGGACTGGACCAGTACAAAGAATATTTTTGAGGAGGAAAATTACACAAAATTTTTACCTTAAAAGTCAAGGCTTTTTTAAAATTCGGGGTGGACCGGGCTCAGGTTGGCCCCCCTCTAGATCCGCCCATGCTGCTAAAGAGAGCACGCTTACATACAGGGGGGACTGTTTGGTAAACGTGTTAAGAATTAAACTCACGCACACGAAGAACAATTAAAGAACACACGAAATTTGGTAACCCAGTTCGCCACGAATGACTACGTCTGGGGGCGCTACCAAACCAGGAATTTTATTGTTATTTTCGGATCCAAGGGATTACAAGGAGAGAGGTTGTATTTATAGAGAGTAAAACATAACCCTTAATTAAAGTAGGACACACGTTTCCTAAAAAAAATTAGTAAACCGTACGGCCCAATCTGTACGGAACTGTACGGGCTGTACAGAAAACTTGATCGTCAAAAACGGACCAAAAATTGGCGGTTTGACCACTTTCAGCGAATAAAGCTTGGTTATACAGTCTCTAACACCTTACAAAACGGCGTTTCAGTCGAAAACTGGCGGTTTGACCACTTTCAGCGTTTTCAGGAAGTGAAAAGTTGTTTGGTAAATAGCGGTTCGGCACTAGCGTTTTGGACGAAAACGCTGCTAATAGGAGAGTTTTGGGTTGACGTTTTTAAAAATGGCGTTTTCTACTAATTTTATGGTCAAACAGCTAAATTACCAAACATCTTCTTACAACCCGCCAATTTATTCCGTGAGTCAAACCCGCTGATTGAATCCGCTATTAACAATTCGCTAACATAATCCGCTATCCTCTAATCGCTAACCGCTAACCGCTGAATGCCAAACACGCCCAAGATATAACTAAATCTCAGCGAAAAGGGTCAAATAGATCCTTCTATATTTCCAATCCATCACTTAAGTCTCTATATTAAAATAGTACTCCCTCCGTCCTCTTACTTTGTCCCGTTTTACCTTTTTCGTCCGTCTCATTAAGTTTGTCTCATACCATATAAGAAAATATTTGGGTGGTTACAAATCATTCTTACTTTATTCACACTTTATCAATTCAATACCAACCACATAATTCTACTTTTTCTTAAAAACAACACCACACCCCTTTGTCCTAACTTAGGGGGACAAATGTAGTATTTTATAAGTATGTTTACTTAAAAAGCACAGTCAATCAGGTCATTTCAACTTGCCATAACAGGTTATTTTTGTAAAAAAAATATTTAAAACAGTTGATTAATCTTATAAAAATTAAAATAAATTTGAAAAATAATGTAATAATAATATTAAAAATAGTATAAGTTCAAAGGGGAAAGATCACATGAGAAGTGTGTCTTCGCCTGAAAATTGCAAAGTTTTAATTAATAGAAGTATAGAATCAATAAGGTAACTTATAACATATTATAACTTATAACTCAACAACCCTAAATAAAAAATACAACTTCATAATCATGATAAATTGTGAGAGTATGAGACAAATATGAAACTACAATGAAAACAACTAGTAGCACTTGATACTCTATGGTTTTATATTTGTTAACCCATAAATGCATTTTTTAAATTTAACTATTCATTTGTTAAAATTAACTTATAAAGTCGAATATATAACTTATGTCAAAAGTATAGCTTCATGTGATAAATTTAGCAAGTGTAAGACAAGTATGAGAGTACGATGAAAACAACTAATAACACTTGATATCTTATGTTTTTTATTTTTAGTGACTCATAAATGCATTCATGACACACTTTTTTCTAATTAACTATTAATTTGTTAAATGTAACCTATAAAGCCAAATATATACTTAGTAAATTTTACATCATTTAAATTACTTTTCGGTTTACAGCCGAAGACACACTTCCCCCTGATCGGCTCCGTAATTTAAAAAATAGATAAATAATTTTAACGCGTTGATATAAGAAAAAATAAAAAATAGAAAAGTAAAAAATGATATGAAATGTAAAAAAATAAAATCAAAATGTAATAACTTTTAAAGAGATGTAGAAAATAAAAATAATTCCTAAAAGTATATTGGTAAAAGAATTAGTTAATATAATTGATAAGTCGAAAATAGATATTACCGAACACATTCTTGAAGTGATTTTTCACACCTAAAATTTAGAGCCCGTTTGGTAACATTGACATTGACTGAATCAACTAAATCTGTTTAAAAAATGATGAAGTGCTGCTGGCTGAATTGGCCACATCTACTTAATTGTAGATAAATATATTTTTGTTTTTGTTTTGCAAAAGAAATATATTTTGTTAATAAAATAAAGAAAAAATTATACGAAAATAGCTAAAATGATCATCTCCAACAAATTCAATCAATTCAGCTAGAAACATATATCTCTATTATTAGTTTATACTTGAAAATATAGGTTTATCTATATCTAGTGATATCTTTAGAAGAATGTTTTAACTCTGTCGTGTGTGTGTGTGTGTGTGTGTGTATATATATATATATATATATATATATATATATATATAGGGTGCGGTTCCGGTGAGAACGGTGTCTCATGTGAGAAATAAGAACGAAATCTAGCCTTTGATTCAATCAAACGGATGGCTACAGTGGCGGAGCCAGACATTTAGGGTTAAAGGGGCCGGTCCTTAAC